GGACAGGGAAGATGGTTCAAATTGATGGGAAGATGGATGGAGCCAAATACAGGACCATTCTGGATGGAAACCTGATGGAGTCTGCAAAAGACCTGAGACTGGGACGGAGATTTGTCTTCCAACAAGGCAATGATCCAAAACATAAAGCAAAATCTACAATGGAATGGTTCACAAATAAACATATCCAGGTGTTAGAATGGCCAAGTCAAAGTCCAGACCTGAATCCAATCGAGAATCTGTGGAAAGAACTGAAAACTGCTGTTCACAAACGCTCTCTATCCAACCTCACTGAGCTCGAGCTGTTTTGCAAGGCGGAATGGGCAAAAATTTCAGTCTCTTGATGTGCAAAACTGATAGAGACATACCCCAAGTGACTTACAGCTGTAATCGCAGCAAAAGGTGGCGCTACAAAGTATTAACTTAAGGGGGCTGAATAATTTTGCACGGCCAATTTTTCAGTTTTTTATTTGTTAGAAAAGTTTGAAATATCCAATAAATTTTGTTCCACTTCATGATTGTGTCCCACTTGTTGTTGATTCTTCACAAAAAATTACAGTTTTATATCTTTATGTTTGAAGCCTGAAATGTGGCAAAAGGTCGCAAAGTTCAAGGGGGCCGAATACTTTCGCAAGGCACTGTATTAAAAAAAAAAAAGGGAGACAAGCAAAAAAGATTTCCCTTCAGTCAAACAAAAATCTGATCTAGAAATCCGTACTTGCATGCTGCTTGGATCAGCCACAGCAACGTGTCCCTGTAGCTCTGTATTTGCTCAATTTGACAATCCATCCACCAGTAGCCAAATCACCACTGCCCCTGCCATTCAACTAATTCTTCTCAAGTGAGAAACCACAGATCACAACCTTAACACATTATCGTGTCACTGGGAAGCAGGATCAGATTTCATTTTACTTGGTACAGTACCAGAAGCACCAGACTCCGTTACACTCAGCTGAGTGTCTCGGTCATCTTTCTCTTTGGGTTTTTGGACAAGACTTCACTTGAGTGCAGAAATAAAAAAAAAAAAAAAAAAAAAAAAAAATCTATTCTCTTACGTTAGCCCACAGTGTCATTTAACTCTGAACTTTGTCAGTCTGTGATACATTGCGATGACATATAAAACTGAAAATAACATTCATACTGTTGTGCTTGTCCCTCTACAGAAAGGCTTTGGTAACATAGATGGTGAACATTGGCTTGGGCTGGACAATATCTACAACCTGGGGAAACAGGGTGACTATAAGTTGATGATTGAGCTAGAGGACTGGACAGGGAAGAAGGTGTACGCCGAGTACAGCAGCTTCCGCCTGGAGTCAGAAAGCGAGGGTTACCGGCTGAGGCTGGGCACTTACCAGGGCAATGCTGGGGACTCCTTCAGCAGCCACAATGGCAAACAGTTCACCACTCTCGATCGCGACAAGGATGCATTTTCTGGTAGGGGGATGCTAGACGAGTCCTGTAATGCCAGTTATATTAGCTGCAGTGTAATGACAAAATATTAATAAGCTCCTTATTTGCTTGTACACCACATCTTGTTTTTTGTGTCCTTGTCCACTAGGCAACTGTGCACACTTCCATAAAGGTGGCTGGTGGTACAATGCTTGTGGGCAGACCAACCTGAATGGCGTATGGTACGGTGGAGGAGTGTACCGCAGCAAATTTCAGGATGGAATCTTCTGGGCAGACTACGGAGGCGGGTTCTACTCCCTCAAGTCAGTCCGCCTTATGATCCGACCAATCGACTGAAACCTTAGACTTTCACAGGCACCTCAAGTCTCCTTATCTTTATCTACCCATAAACAAATACTGTGAAGGCAGGACCAGGAATCCTTGCCACCATTCAAGTGTGCCTTGTAAAATATAAAGGAGGAAGAGACAGTGGAAACTCTTTATTGCCAGATGATAATGACTTCAGCAGTCTGTGCAGTGGCTAGCGCCCAACTTGACTAATGCAGAAATGAAGAGTGATGCCATTGCTCCCTTTAAGTAACAGTTCTCCTCCAGTCTGGACAGAAATGGTCCAGCAAGCTCCTTGGGACCATTCAGAATTACTCTCACACACCCTATTTTACTCAATCTTATTGGAACTCAGAATGTAATAAAGGAAAATGGTCATATACTAAAGACAAGAGATTTCTTCTGAGCAGCTAAAGGTGACTTATTGAAAGGAGGATTGCCCATTATTGAGGCATGTATTGAGACATTAGTAGCATGAAAAATGATGCAATATGAAGTTGTGTTGCCACTTAGAATACCTGACAATGATTAGAAGGACAAGCCTTGATAAACCTACTGTCTGTTTCAGAGATTTGTCTGGACTTCAGGGGTTTCTGTTTAACCCCCCCCCCCCAAAAAAAATGCAACAATGTGCTCATCCAGTGTGCACATAGGTGAGCTGGCATTGGTATGTAAATATTTTTGGCTTTATTTGTTAAGGTTAATTTAAGAGGTATGATTTAACTCAGGCCAAATGTTAATGTTGTCACTGCCAGTTTTTGTTATTTATCTGTGTATTTATAGCAAGTATAGTCTTGGCCATGTTATATCTATCCCTGTAATGATACTTAATATTTTTATCCCATATATGCATTAACAACACTTGAACAGGAGCACAGACACACACAGATAGCAAACAACAAATTCAGAGTGGATGTCTACTTGACTTGAAGATGGACAATGTGACATGCACTGCCAGTTTTCATCCAAATCAAATTTAACTCTTTTGTAAACATCTGTCACTCTTCACTCACTTTCATCTTAATGAATGATTCTTTAAAATCTGATCCCTTCCATGACGAGATTAAAAATGAATCCAAGCATGAATGTAAATCTTGAAATGTTACATTACATAACAGCCCAGCTGAGCCTTTATCTGTATAAAGAATGATATAACCATCTGAAATGAACCACTTCAACCACTTCTTTGATCTGATTTAAGTGCGATTTAAGTGCATTCCAAGCTGTCAAGACAATGAAGAATGGCTTTGGGAATTAATAATTAAAGAAAGTGGGAAGAATAAAAATGGCCTGCAACCATGGTGAATGACTACGCTCAAAATTACATTATTCTTGTGCTGAAAGGCTGAAAGCTACAGCAAAGGAGATCAAAGAAAGATATGGATGGAAGAAGAAAAAAAACTAGCTTCACAGAACCAGACTCAAGTATATGAATAAGGACAGAAACAGATAACACGGAGGATATTAAATGATGGTGCTACAGAAACCTTTAGACTAAAATGAAAGAACCTCAGGGTGATGAAAGACAACAGATGGGTAGATGAAGAGGAGGAGGTGCACATTCTTTCCAACTGAGAGTTGCTTTCCCTAAAACTGTACAAACATATATACCTTAAAATTATGGCTCCCCTCTGGAGCTCTCCTTCTGAGGAGCTGTATGTCAAAACAAATGGGACCCATCGGATGCAAACACTGCAGGGAGGAGAAGCTATGCACACACACAAAGTCAATACATTTTAGCTGACAGTCACACAGAGTTAGCCAGCAAAACTGGCAGGTAGCTTTGCTGTCAGACATCTCAAATACTGTGTATCCATGCAGTCCAAGTGTTCAGGCCTTGCCTGGCTGTACAAGCTCCTACAGCAACCAAAAGAGAAATAGATGTTAGCTGGTTAGTCATCGCAGTGCTGTTGGCAATTTTAAAAAACTGCAGAAGAAGAAAGGGCCCTTGTGCCGGATTCTTGTCCTCTATTGTCTTTCTCCACTGACAGAGACCAAAAAGCAAATGGCTACCACAGAATCCCATTAATAAGTACAAACCCCAGTTCCAATGAAGTTGGGACATTGTGTAAAACATAAAGAAAAACAGAATAAAATGACTTGCAAATTCTTTTTGACCCATATTTAATTGAATACACTAGCCGTCCCTGGTGGGCTAGTGGTTAAGGTGCAGTGGTTAAGGTGCAGTGCTCTCGCCGCGGCACCCGGGGTTCGAATCAGGGTTGTGTCAGGAAGGGTATCCGGCGTAAAACACGTGCCAAATATCAACATGCGAGTCGTCAGTGTGACGATTAGCTGTGACAACCCCTAAATGGGAAAAAGCCAAAAGTGACTAATTGAATACACCACAAAGACAAGATATTTAATGTTCAAACTGATAAAGTTTATTGTTTTTTGCAAATATTCACTCATTTTGAATTTGATGCCTGCAACACGTTCCAAAAGAGCTGGGACAGGGGTAGTTTTACCAGCGTGTTACATCACCTTTCCTTTGAAAAAACACTTAATAAGCATTTGGGAACTGAGGACACTAATTGTTGAAGTTTTGTAGGTGGAATTCTTTCCCATTCTTGCTTGATATGTGACTTCAGTTGCTCAACAGTCTGGGGTATGCATCATTGTATTTTGTGCTTCATAATGTGCCACACATTTTCAATGGGAGACAGGTCTGGACTGCAGGCAGGCCAGTCTAGGACCTGCACTCTTTTACTATGAAGCCACGCTGTTGTAACACATGCAGAATGCGGCTTGGCAGTGTCCTGTTGAAATGAGTAAAAAGACGTCACTTGGGTGGCAGCATATTTGGCTCCAAAACCTGGATGTACTTTTCAGCAGTAATGGTGCCTTCACAGATGTGCAAGTTACCCATGGGCACTAACACACCCCCATACCATCACAGATGCTGGCTTTTGAACTTTGTGCTGATAACAATCTGGACTCAGGCCCAGAGAAGTCGGTGGTGTTTCTGGGTATTGTTGATGTATGGCTTTCACTTTGCATGGTAGAGTTTTAATTTGTACTTGTAGATGTTGCGATGAACTGTGTTTACTGACAATGGCTTTCTGAAGTGTTCCTGAGCTCACATGGTAATGTCCTTTACAGAATGATGTCTGTTTTTAATGCAGTGCCGCCTGAGGAGTCGAAGGTCACGGGCATTCAGTGTAGGTTTATGGCCTTGTTGCTTATGTGCAGAGATTTCTCTGGATTCTCTGAATCTTTTGATGATATTATAAACTGTAGATCAAAATCAAATTTATATATATAGCAACATCAAGCTGACCAAAATACTTTACATGGCAGAATAAAATCACAATAAATGACTAAAATAGAGTAAATAAGACCAGTACAAATAAAAATAAAACAGCACAATAACACGGACACAGTTAACGTACATTCAATAAATTAAATTAAAATTAAAAGGAATTAAAAGGAATGCATCAGGCCCTACCTGTGTATTAAATGCCAAGCCAAATAAATGTGTTTTAAGCAATGATTTAAAAGTACTGAGGTCAGTAGCTGACCTAACATTAAAAGGTAGACTATTCCACAATTTAGGGGCTGCAACAGTAAAAGCACAGTAAATGATGAAATACCTAAATGCCTTACAATTGTATGTTGAGAAATGTTGTTCTTAAACTGTTGGACTATTTGTTGCTGCAGTTGTTCACAAAGTGGTGAACCACACCCCATCCTTGCTTGTGAATGTCTGAGCCTTTTGGGATGCTCCTTTTATACCCAATCATGATGCTCACCTGTTTCCAATAAACTTGTTCACCTGTGGAATGTTCCAAACAGGTGTTTTTTGAGTATTCCTCAACTTTTCCAGTCTTTTGTTGCCCCTGTCCCAGCTCTTTTGGAATGTGTTGCAGGCATCAAATTCAAAATGAGTGAATATTTGCAAAAAACAAAGTTGATCAGTTTGAACATTAAATATCTTGTCTTTAAGGTGTATTCAATTAAATATGGGTCAAATAGGATTTGCAAGTCAATGTTCTGTTTTTATTTACGATTTACACGATGCCCCAACTTCATTGGAGTTGGGGCTTGTACAATAAAATTAAACAGGGACGATCATACATTAACAAGTCCTCACAGAAACCTTATGCACTACGCTAAACTCGCATAAACATTTGCCCTCCATTAAAACAACGCAATGGGCTGTGTTACACAATCCAGAAAGTCCAGTGGGAGGAACACACAAGTGTTTACTAGATATCAAAACATAGCACAGTGGTTTGTAATACAGACAGGATTTTATTTTATATATTACAAACAGGAACTCTTAAAAGCTAATACTTTTAAATGGAGAAGGTTCCCCAAAATCGAGACACACGATGACAGAGGGTGTTGGGGGGGGCTTGGGCTTGTGCAACAGAAATATACAGTGCCTTGCAAAAGTATTCGGCCCCCTTGAACTTTGCGACCTTTTGCCACATTTCAGGCTTCAAACATAAAGATATAAAACTGTAATTTTTTGTGAAGAATCAAAAACAAGTGGGACACAATCATGAAGTGGAATGAAATTTATTGGATATTTCAAACTTTTTTAACAAATAAAAAACTGAAAAATTGGGCGTGCAAAATTATTCAGCCCCCTTAAGTTAATACTTTGTAGCGCCACCTTTTGCTGCGATTACAGCTGTAAGTCGCTTGGGGTATGTCTCTATCAGTTTTGCACATCGAGAGACTGAAATTTTTGCCCATGCCTCCTTGCAAAACAGCTCGAGCTCAGTGAGGTTGGATGGAGAGCATTTGTGAACAGCAGTTTTCAGTTCTTTCCACAGATTCTCAGGCATGGGCAAAAATTTCAGTCTCTCGATGTGCAAAACTGATAGAGACATACCCCAAGTGACTTACAGCTGTAATCGCAGCAAAAGGTGGCGCTACAACGTATTAACTTAAGGGGGTTGAATAATTTTGCACGCCCAATTTTTCAGTTTTTTTATTTGTTAAAAAAGTTTGACATATCCAATAAATTTCGTTCCACTTCATGATTGTGTCCCACTTGTTGTTGATTCTTCACAAAAAATTACAGTTTTATATCTTTATGTTTGAAGCCTGAAATGTGGCAAAAGGTCGCAAAGTTCAAGGGGGCCGAATACTTTCGCAAGGCACTGTAACTGTGACCCAAAATCACTTTTTTTGTCATTTACACTTGATTTGTAAGCACTGTCAACCAGTTCACAGCAGCATGTGGCTGAACTAATTCAGTGCACACAGAGGTGGAGTGCAGATACTGCTGTTGTGCTGCTTTCGCTACGTGGTTGGTGTAGGCAAGGTCAAAGGATAATGAGTTGAGGAAACATTTTAAAGTGTGTTTAAAATGCACATAGAAAAACACGCATGATAACTTTAGGCCTCTGCTATAGGTTGGGACTATAATTTAAGCTTCAAGAGGTGCTTTGTTAAGTGGCCATAGATGTGAGAATATGCACATACACATCAAGAGAACCTCATATTGCCAATTGCACACACTCTCTGCAACAGGCACTGTGGCTCTCGGGCTCCTGCTCATTCATTCCCACTTTATCTAAAAGGAAGCTGGTGGAATTATATACAGGCGGGAGCATCCAATAACAAGCCAGTGTCAACTACTCTCCTGTGTGCCAACTTGGCTCATTCCAGACCCAAGGACAGCCAGCTGGTCACATAGCACATATCCACACGCAATACTGACAAGTTCAAACTGTAAGAAAACACCATCCCACTCACACATACAGACTCATAATACAAAGAAACCCTAACAAAGACCACTAGTCACACACCATTAAAAAACCAAATAAAGTCTTTCCTCTCTATTCACACACACACACACACACACACACACACACAAATGTGTCATCTTTTACAGCACTAGCATTGCATTTGGCTCATGGTCTATTATTACATCCACATTTCCGTGATGGAGCACGATGGGGAAAATGGGTGAATGAAATTTTCTTCAAGGACAAACAGACTCTTGAGCTCTCTGTGTTTCTGCTCGTGCCTGTGTTTGTTTGTACATGCTTGACTGTCTGTGTTTGTGCAGCAGTAGCTCTGATATGAGCCCAACGGTAAGAAAAAAGATCACGGCAGTAAAGAGCATCAAAGTCATCCAGTCATCATCAAGTCAAAACAAGAGCAAACAGTACAGCGATAAAACCACAAACATGGGAGCGTTTTATGCACAGATCACATGGGATTCCTGTGTGATGTCACATAACGAAATCAAAGAAAGAGTGGGGTATAAATATAGTAAGAAAAGAAAAAGATTGATGTCTTTGTTCCAGCTAAAAGGAACTTTGAAATGTTTCAAAACAGAGCATATGTTCACTTTCTTCCAGGAAGGAAAACAGAACAGGACAATAACAGCAGAGGATCAACAGATGATAAATGTGACTCTGGCACTAGAAAACCCATAAGATAGTAAAAAAATAAATAAATAAATAAAGAGACGGGAAAACAAAAAAAAACCCCACATTTTTATGCCAGACATACAGACAGAGACTGTTTCTTTATTAAACCCAGACGCTTGGCCTCAGTTTAACCTTTAGCCCATAAAGATAAGAAGCTGATAGTGAGGAACATGAATGTGTCCTTCAAAGATCAGACCTTGTAGTGGTATGTAAGTGTGTGTCTGTGTTTGTTACCTAGGTATGGTATACACGAGACCATGCTCTGGCTGCTTATATAGTCTCTCAGACGTTTATAGTTGTCTTCTTTGGACATCAAGTAGTCGAGCCTATCAAACATTGCCTTGTCCTTCCGGCTCAGTAGCTGTGAGGTACAGAGGGACAGAAAAGAAGGGCAAAGATAAAGAGACCATGATCCCTAAGTAAACAGTTGAAAGAGCTAGGAGGAAAATGATGAAAAAGAGTTATCCATTTAAGTGACTTAAATTGAACCATCTTTCACACAGAAAAGTGTGAAACACACACACACACACACCAAAGTACTATAGCCAAAAGTAGGAAAAACAGAGGAAAGAAGTGAGAATTGGAAACATAAAGGAAGTAACGGCGAGATTTCAGTTTCACAATACAAGAGAGTCAAAGGGAGCGAACACAGTGTTCTGGCTGCTGCCTAACTGGCTGTCTATGGACAAACTCTCTACCAGTTACAAATTAGCACTTTTAATCCTGAATGCTTCAACTCTAATCACTTTTTGACATAACAAGAGAAAAGACATTTAGATTACTATAGTTTTATACATTTTTTTACTTGTTCTGTTTTGCAGCTATCTATGTAAAATATAGCAACAGACATAGTAGTTGCTCTTCTCCAAGGTGTTTTTGTGTTGAATGCACATCAAGCACCTGAAAATGTGCCTGGTGCAGACACAAGCGCAAGCCTCACTCGAGGTGCACACAAGATGCTACACATTGCACAGACTACGCTTTTGGTCTGTGCCACTACGTGGACTGTCGTGCCTCTAAATGTGATTGGCACAAAATTGGAAAACTTGGAGTGATGGGCCAGTCAAGGCCGATCATGCCAAAAACCAGCCATTTCCCATCTCTGCCGATTGATCAGTGCATCTCTACTACAGATGCAAAGTCTACTCCTCCACGAAACCTGATCACCTGAACTGCTGGCATAACAACTTTGAGGGTTGTGACAAATGCAGGACATCCCAGTGAATTTATGATTTTCTGAATGTTCTAAATCATCCTGACGTAGCTTTTCCTGAACTCTACCATTCATCTTGTCACCTCACCAATGTCTTAATTTTTATTAGCCTTTGTTTATCTGCCCGATGGTTTGGAACAGATCAGCTTGACGTTCCCATTTATTGACACCGCTCTACTAATAAACCAGACTTGCCTTCAAAGTAGGATAAACACACTCACCGCCCATGTTTTGGTAAGCCTGAAGATGGGAGCGCTTTGTAATCCTGACACCACAGCGATGACTGCATGGAGGTTGTTCATGTCACACAGTTTCTGTGAGAAGTCAAAGTACACAGAGCACAAATAAAACAGAGGTTACACTGCAAACACTCATAAGGATAGAACAATAATGTCATATTGTGTGTGGACGTGTGTACCTTGGCAGTACGAATGTAATGACTCAGCACCTCGGCTCTGATCTTCAACGTCTGTGCATGGAGGATTTCTCTTACCACCCAGAAACTCGTCTAGATAAAATACATACACACACACACACACACACACACAGATTACACGCCAAAAACAGAGCCGGGACACAGCAGAACTGATGAAACAAATGTTCAGTCGATGATGTTTCATAATTAAAAGTACAATGAGGATTTCAGGGATGTTGAAAGGAAAAACAGCCGTGCCTTGCTATATCTTCAGACTGAGTCGAGTCTGGACTGAAACCAGCATCAAGCAGAGCACAGGGCAGAATGCTAATTGGAACTCTCCATTAGAATCTATTAGAAATTAGCTCTTGAAGAAAAAAAGACCTTCAGAGGAAAATCCAACACATTCCAAATGATTACACAACAGATATACACCATAGTGCTAATATGAAAAAGGAGGGGTGTGCGTGTGTGTTCAGATTATTTGGCCAGACTGAGTGTGATGTAAGAAATTCTCTTTAGGGAGAATGCTGGTAAGCCAAAGTTCTAATTACACGTACAAACATGGAGAAATGAATCAATCTGTGTTTAAGCTCCAGGAAGAGAAACAGAATGGAAAGAGGGAGACGAGTGAGGGAAGACAGGCGGTAATGGGAATGATGTCGGCTTCAACTCTGCAGGGCTCCAAGTGCTTTGAAAGCCCACAGCGGTCTGTACATTGTGTTCTAATAATACAGGCTGACTGACCACCTCCGCTCCTTCTTTTGCCCATTCGTCTCTCCCATTAGATGCGAGTAGGCGTTTGATTAATTGACTTGTGCTGATGCGGTCAACATTCTTCCATTTAAGCCACAGACCACTAGGTGTGCCTCTTTTGTGTGTGCTTCTCCAGCTTCATTTGCAATGTGCACAGATTTGAACCTACACCTGGCTTTGCCTATTTCTTCCTGGAAACAGTTTTTGTTTCTAGGAAGAGGTGAGCAGCTGAGACGTGAAGATTGAAATTCATCCAGCTACTCACGTGCTCTCATCCTGTCTTCCCTTACAAACACATGCTAAACATACATCACACTACACTGAATCTATGCACATACTGTATATCCAGGAAACAAAGCCATGTGGGTTTAATTTTCACCATTTCACACAGAGAGTCTGTCAAGAAGATGGAGTGAAGAAAATGAACAAAATACACATAGATGGTGAACCCTGACTTTACTGGCTTCCAAATTTTATTTGCATCTCATGCCTTCAGACAGTAACCTCACGTGAAGAAGCAGCCCTGACTCTCAAGATAAAGTTTCACCTTGTCTCATCCATCTTGCATTTCCAGCGTACAGCAGACTGGAGTTTCCATTGACTGTAAAATGCGATTTCAATCTGGAAGCAAAAACATGCTGCAGCTTCTCATTTTGTATCTGAGGTCAACCTGAACAAAGTATGTCTCTGAAATTCACTGCACAACTGGGGTTCATTACAGAGCACATGTCTTAGTCTGCCTCAGCTTTCACTGGATACACAAGTGTGTGAGACTACTTGATGGTTTAGGAATAGAGGCTGTGCAGGCAGGGCCCTGTCTTTACAGATGTCATATTACGCCCCTAAAGCACAGCTTTAATGGGCTGTGTTTGTGAGCATATCAAGGCTTGCACATGCAGCAAGAGGCCCCTGTGGTTCAACAAACATAGATAAGGCAGAAGCGTTACAGGTCCCACCACAAGCAGATGTGGTGGTGGGTGGGGGAGTGGGCTGTGACTGACAGACTTGAGGTAATGGTGGACCTGATTCCTGAATTACTAACATGTGTTCAGGGTTTGAATTATATACCCAACAGCCCTGTGTTTAGAATGACCCAGAAGCCATGTGCCAATAATGGTCAATGAGCTGAAATAAACTGGTGATGCTGCCCTTCTTTGCATTTATGATAGCACTTTAGACATAAAGACGATGCCCAATGGGCAATTATCCATCCATCCATCCATTTTCTTCCGCTTATCCGGGGCCGGGTCACGGGGGCAGCAGTCTAAGCAAAGATGCCCAGACCTCCCTCTCTCCCTCTCTGGGTCTGGGAGGTCAATGGGCAATTAGTCACGTCAGTTTTCTGACTGTATAACTGACAGAATAGCCATGACTTTGTAATTTGTAGCATGTGTAATGGGACATTTATATTAGTACCCTTTTAAGTGTATTGGCTGTTGCTATGTAGTTATTCTATGCAGTTATTTGTGTGCTTGTGAAACTAGACAGTTAACTGTGCATCGTAGGTCGACTGTGGTTCAGTGGGTAGAGCAGTCGTCTCCCAACTGGAGGGCCGGAGGTTTGACTCTTGGTGCCTGCAGTCCACGTGTCCTTGGGCAAGACACTGAACCCCCAAGTTGCCCCCGATGGTTAGAGCTAGGTGTGAGTTGGCGCTGCAGATGGCTGCCTCGGTTCTGTACCACAAACAAATTCCTTGTGTGTAACATACTTGGTCAACTAAAGGTGATTATCCACTAGTAAGACCCCATCAGCGGCTTTGACCAATATGGCGTCGGACCTCATCAGTGAGAGGCAGATCATTGATTGGCTGTTGAGCTTAGCAAATCAATGCACAAGAAGAGAACCATTTGAGAACGCTCCTTCAGCTTGTCGTTGTAGAATCTATGATTTCACACTTTTAGTGGGGCTTGTTCTTGTTTTTTTGCCTCCATGACCACAACCAAAAGTCCAAGGCAGCAGTGCCATTTGCAACTTCTTATCAGACAAAGTCTCAGTTAGAATCCGTTTTAAACAGCAGCTCTACTGAACGAGAGCTGCTTTGTTTACAGCTTGTATTTCCGTAGTCTAGCTCCTCCTCTTTCACTTTCTGAACGGCGAATACAGATAATGCCACCTGCTGGTAGGGGGAGTTTATTATGTCATGCAGGCACAGAATGAACATGCTAGTTGTCCATTGGCTGTAGTCTGTGTGGTGTGTTGTAGTGCCACTTTTTCAACACAGACAAAGGTGGCGTGAAGTGAAGCAACAACCGGCTAGTTCTTTCACATTGGCGTGGTGTGTGTCTGCCAAGGCTTCTGCCCTCCACTAACAGGTGCTGCTGCTGCCTTGCCACGTGACCACCAGGGTCGGGCAGGACGTGGTGCGCTCCTCGGCCGACGAGCCCTGCGGCCTCCGAGGTGCCTCCATCCAGGTCTACGTAGACTGCAAAGACGGGCTGAAGTCTGTGGGGAGCGTCTTCCCTGACTCGAGTGTCACCCCGACTTTTGAACTACAGTATTTGTGATCTTCAAGGCAAACAAAGATGACGGCTGGCTGCCACTGAGACACATCTTTGATACCAACAAAGTGTTGAAGCTGAGAGCGGAGTACCGACTGGTGAAAAGGAAGCTCTATTCCTTTGCCAGTCCTGTCATTCATTACTTCAACTAGCGTGTTAACCCCTGTTTTTTTGTTTGACGGTGACTGTTATTGCTCATGGTACATGCACAATAGCCTGACCTGCCAAGCACTGGAAAATGCTGGATTTACTCTGCACTAGATTAGCTCTGAGGAAACTGGCTGTGGATTTCATGTGTGGATGTCTTATAAAATTGGAGCAGGGGGTCAAACTGTTTACACTCTGTAGCCAGTCTGACAGGCATAGAACGGCTGAATGCAAATTGTCACTGTAAACAAATGTTTCACAGAAATGGACGGGTCTCATTCCTGGAGTATGCTGTACTTTTTTTTCCCCCCGGGGACAGCTGTGGCTCAGGAGGTAGAGCGGGTCGAGGATTAGTGGTTCAATTTCCGGCTTGTCCAGTCAACATGTTGAAGTGTCCTTGAGCAAGACACTGAACCCCCAGTGATAACACCGGTGTGTGAATGCGTGAGCGTTTGAGAGTGCGAATAGGTGAATGGCCAAATAGTGTGAAAGCGCTTTAAGTGTGCTGTAAAGCGCTACACAAGTATAAGACCATTTACTTCAGTCTTCCCTTCTGATGAAAATGTTGATTATTCTCATTTGGTTATCACAGCCACAAATGCCTTATTATTCTTATGACTTCTGAACAAGAATATGTGCTTTTTTCCCTACCTATGCAAGATGCTGGTTTGTCTCTGTCTATCAAACATAAGAGATTACTGTGCACTGATCATAATGGGTTCTGATTTATTCCGTCTTTGGCGCCTGCTAAATAGGCCTGCCAGTTTCCTTCTGCTCCGCTGCTACAGAATATAATGCCAGCAAAACAGCGACTGAAGGAAGAGGAATATGGTTTCAGCTGCGTCCCAGAGAGCTCCTCAGCATATCTGCACACCCAGTCCAAGTCCCATTATCCAAAAAGCCCATTTTCCTTGGTTCTCAGCAGCTGAAATGTGCATAGCTAACATCTTGAATCACTGTTTAGGATCTGCTATACATGGAGAACTTTCCACAGCAGCACATTCTTGATAAATCATCTCATATTTATACTGGAAGACACTAAATGGGTTTTAAAGAAGACTGGCAAAAACACTGTAAGGAGAATAAAGGGCATAGTTACCCATTACATTAATAGCCGCAAGTTCCTGTTGCTGATTTCCCAGGGAACTGCCACACACACACACACACACACACACACACACACACACACACACCTCTGCATACTACATGGAAATGGTGCAACAACATGCAAAAGTACATTAATAACATCATGAATGAAAATTCCTATTTCAAGTGGGTACTATTTGTGATATGCAAGATGAGCAGGGAGGAGAGGTGGAGGTTATAAGGAAAGAGAGGTTCATCGACAAAGTTTATAATAATAAATTAAAAAAACAACAACTCAGAGACCTTGGGGCGATGATTTGGTACCAGGAGGATGAGAGAAGGGTACATGATGGAAAGAAGAGCTGTAAACTCTCCATACCTCGATGGCCAAGAGGCTCGTAAATCTCAAACATTGCAAGAGGAACTGTCTTCTCTCTCTCCTTCTGGGTGAGAATGAAGACACATGAGTGCAAAGGGAGTGCGTGTCTCACCTGGTTGAACCTGCGAGTGAAGGCCACAACATTTGGCGCTGAGCTGTGCTTCTCCTTCTTGTTCCAGCCGCAGCTCGACAGCTCCTGAAAACATACCAACAATTAGCTTTAGGTACCTGAGCCACAGAATGTTCTTATATTTGTCAGTTGTTTACTAAGTACCATACACTCTCAGAGTCAGAGGTCACTCAGTGGGAGGTGGAGAAAAGGCAGAGAGAAGGATATGATAGGAGAGAGAAACAGAGGGGGATAGGAGAGAGAAGGGCTGAAGATAGGATC